TTTCGAATAATAAATTTTTGGAGAATGTAGTTGAAAATAAGCCTATGTTTGATAACCATTATATCCAAACTTTTTCTTCTCGTACTCATTTTCAACCATACATTTTCACAATAAAATATTTTTCTCGTAAATCCAAAATTTTTTAACCACACATTTTCCAAGAAAATACTATTCAAAAATTCATTCTTTCTACAAAATTGTTGAACAAGGACTACGTATAATTTTTTTTTGAAATAATAGTTACTAAACATTGGCTTGAAGACACTTCAATTTGTAAACCAACCTATGAGCTTTTCGACAATGTACAGTTTCTCGAATAAAATTCGAGATCAAGTCACTGACCTCATAAGATTTCTCTTTTACTACTTGAGCTAGATTTTTATCTCTATTTTTAATTTTAAAAAATGACATTAAAAAACACGAGAATCACCTTGCAAGTCGACTTTCGAAGTCCATGAGCTCTAATGGCTAAGCTCGAATCAACTCATTCCCGAGCTTGTTGAAAAACGAGATGAGCATGAGCTGAGCTCACACAATCCTATGAGTGACTACCCAAAAGAAATAAGCCCATATTTGATACATATCCTTTTTTTAAGTAGAAATAACACCCATACATGGTTTTTCAATTCTCAATTCAAAAATCAGGTTTAAAAGTTTTTTATTCAAAAATAAGGTGATAATTCAACATTTTAATATTAATAATAATATTATAAAATTAAATTAATTTACATACCCACTCCACCCGATTTCATTCCCAAACCTTGAATCATTTTCATCTCTCCATCCTCTCCCTGTTGTCTCTAGGCACCAATCCCAACCACCACATGACGCTTTGAGCGTGCATTCTTTCTTCTCTCTCCGGTTGCCGTCACCACCATGTGATGCTCACAGCGCTGCGTGCAGTGGCACCGTGACGCCGCTGCTGCTTGTTGCTATAATTCGAGTTTGTTGGTGGTTATTGAAGTTTATTAGTGGTTTTTTTTTGATTTGATCTGTTATGGGTGGTTTGCACTGTGGGTGATTTATTTGTGGGTTGTTTGCAAATATAGTGATTATGAGGTGGTGGTGAAGTGGTTATGGTACTAGAATTGGTGGTGAGGTGGCGGTGGTGCTAGCATTGGTGTCGATGGTGAATTGAGATTGTGTTAGGACGGGATGAAGAGCATTTGTAACTAATTATTTGGATAACTGTGACTAATAATTAATTAATTTGTGATAAATAAATATTATGTGACGATAGAATAAATAGTTTATCAATAAATAACAAGTGACCTAAAAAATATGATATTACGACTAAATTTATAATCATAACTCATATTTTGTTAAATCGCGACTAATTAATTTGATAATTTGTGATCGAGAAATAAATTATAACCACTTAATTTGATTATTTGTGACTTGAAATAAGTTGTGAGCAATAAAATTTGTGAATTGTGATTGAACAATAATACGTCACCTATTAATTTGATAATTTGCGATCGATGAATAAATTGTGAGTTATAAAATTTATGATTTGTAATCTAGAAATAATGTGTGATATGTTAATTTAATAATTTGTGATCAGTAAATAAGTTGTGATCCATAAATTATGATTTTAACGTTTTGTGATTGTGGCCTAGATATAGTACGTAATTTTGATCACGAATTATATAATATTGTGATCTTAATGTATTTAATTGATAAAAAATATTTTTAATTATTTATTTAATTTATAAACATTTTCGAAATTTTAAAATAAAATT